GGCCTCTTGCTTTTGCTCTGCGCTTCAAAAAAACACCCTCTGGCTTGGTTGGATGTGCTTCGTATGCATTTCGACGAAAAGAGCCTCGTTTAGCATGATGTGGGAACACGACACGGCATCTTGAAGAGGCTTCAGCCACTCATAAGCCAGGAGAGGAGCCCAGCGATCAGAGATGAAGCAAAGCGCTCAAAAACACATTAACGCACATACTACCTACCTTAGGGCAGGAAAGGGGGGGGGGGGGGGGCAAGATAGCTAAGTCTAGATGACATGATGGTTGTATACTTGCCAATGTCGATGTGCGAAGACTCCGCGAGGTATACAGCAGTACACTCCACGTCGAATGATAGAGGGACGGCCAACCGGGCAAGTTCCAGATGATGAACCAAGACACAGGCTCGCGTGGTTTGAGGTCTGTGGTCTGTCTCGTCTGAAGCAGGAGCGCACCGGGGCTGCACCTGACTATACCTCCGATTCGCGGCTTTAACGTGAACTAGTGAAGAGGAGTGCTTCGCCTTTCCTAGGAGCAGGTCGGAAAATTATCGAGTTCAATGAAGCGAAAGAATCATCCGTTTTACTGCCCACAGACCCCACAGAACCCCCACGCCTTCCAAGTTCCAGGCAAGGAACTGGGGAGGGGCTCGTGCCGCATTACGGCTGCCGTTCCTGCGCTGCCCTGTTCCAGCTCCCGCTGCCCTGTGGCCCCAGCGCCCGCGGGTATCTTGGTCTGGTTAGATTCTCGCTCCCTCTTGCCCACTGCCCTTCTCATCGTTGCATCGACATCCATGAATCTTCCAACGGATCCTCTAATCCTCAACCGGGTCAAGTCCTTTTCTGCTCTAGACATGGATCATGTCGCCATAATCCAGGCTGGATTACGGATATGGGTTGCAATCTCCAATCCCGGAGGACCGACTTTCCAATTGCCGACTCCCACGGTGTACGAAAACGGCATCCCGACGACGCCTGGATGCTTCTTCGCTTCACACTGACCTTTTCATCTTGCACTGCTGCGCACACTGACCCTCTCTCGTCTCCCTCAGCCCTTGACTCCCACGCCCACTATGCCACGCGGCCCATGCTATGGATGGTATGGATGGCATGGATTATACGGATGCCACGGATGCCACGGCGGTGAAGGTCGTTTCTGGGCGGTCCCAACGCCCTGGTCACGATCTGCTGCACGACTCAGTGCCTCGGCGACCTGCCCGACGCGCTGACAAGCAGCACTCTGGCGTGCTCTATGACATCTCATATATGACAGCCGTCCTGTGCCCGCCATTACCAGATTGCCGGAGCCTTTGGGCTAGCACCCCCGGACTTTTCGCTGAGGAGTAGACTCTTTGCGCCAACTCGAACTACGGTATAGGCAGTACATGGCGATGAGGGGGGATGATGGGTTGCGCGAACTAATCGATCACAAGTCTCGGTGAAACCTGCAAATGGCCTCCGCAGAAATCGTGCGAATACTACTTCTCCCCACAGTCCCCCCTCCAGGCTGCCATATGTGTGTGTCTCGGCACACCTCGACAACCGCGCCGCTCGCGTGCATCCACCTTGAGAGCATCCTCGACCCGCACGCCTGGGACTTTCCCCCATCTACGAGTTGCGACCCTCCCGACCCTTCGTCCAACTCCGTGAGATAACGGCGACCTATTCCCACGGTTCGCGCTGTGTTTCATTTCCGTGTTCCTTCGGTTGGCCATCCGACATCCCCCACCTGGAGACTTTCTTCGCTGATAGCGCGTGTCAGCAGCCTATCTATTTCTGGCGGGTGAATGGCGACGCCCTATCACTCGAAATCCGAATCAACTATTCGCGCGCGCAGTCCACTGCAAAATAACACAAGGCGCGCATGTTGGCGTTCCAAGTTGTGACAATAGGGTGATCACGCCTCCGCGGGCGCAACGCCATCTCATCAGCTGTTAGGCGCGATGTTCGTAATCTCGGAACTGACTCGCAACAGTCTTTCTGGCTGATGTGGCGGTGTGCATCGGTGCAAGGGCAACGCGAGGTTTCTTGCGCGCTCCAACTATAAGCTAAGTCTCAGGACGAAACGGCGAGACTTGATGATGGTCGGCTGCCACTATTGCTCAAGAACCGGCCCGCCACCAAATAACTGACTGACAAACCGTGCCGCAATGCCACGGGGCAGGATTGTGCGCTTGGGTTTGGGGGCTGCTGCGCGCCAAGAATACCCCAGTTGCCACAAGGTGTCCAGGGAGAGGAATGCCGTCCGACTGGGCGTCTCTGATAGATGGATGCCATCGGTGGCTTGTTCATCACCATCGTCATCACACGCAACAGCGCCTTTTTATTTTATTTTAAACAGAGCTTGTGCTGCAGAACGCCGCTTGGGGTGAGGGCTGCTGCAGGGACGAATGAGGTTGAATGCCACGCTTTTGTGTGCGACCTCCCCGCAAGCATCACCAGCTCGGGAACCTGGGACCTGATCGTGCGTGCACGACAAATTCCGCATCGAGCGATCACATCGCGCTGACTACTGCAGCAGTATGGAGTAGAACAACGCAGATTTGCGCCTCGAGTCAAGTTCCGAACATGATAGAAGCTGACTCCCGGAAACCATCCGTCGCGCTCAGTAATCCTGATGCCTTGCCATCGGGTTCCAGGCTCTATTAGTTGAACTGCAAGCTTGAACTAGAGAGATCAGAGCTGCGCATGGCGTATGCATCGTATCTTTCCTTGGTGTCGCGATAGCAGGCGTCAAATTGCTTCTCTCCGCCTCGACCATCTCCCATGCCGACCCCTCTTTTGCGGCGCCGCCGCCCCCGGACAAGCCCCGAGCTGGGGTTGGGCACGGCGTCCAACCGACCGCCAAAATCGGGTTACACAACGTTCCTCCTTCCGGTCCGACAGGGATTCGACCCTAGTCAGCCGTCCTCTTCTGGTACAGGATGCATGGACACTGCAGCCATGCCCTTCAGGCGCTCGCTGTCCAGCACTTTTGGGTCATAGACGCGTAGCGAGTGCTTGTGACTGGCAAGCGTCGCTCGATACTGTCGTGTTGGTGAAATCCTGGAACACGTCTTGGGTCCAGAGCTGCCAGCTTGACGGCAGCTTCCGGTTCGATTCCCCTCAGAGCTTACGCTTGTCGATCTGTAGTCACCGAGATGTCCAAAGGTGAGGATCGCGCTCAAGGCACCCCGGCCGCCCTGGCTCTTCTCCTTCGGAACGAACGCAGGCATGTAAAGTGCACTGACGGGGGACATTGAATTCCTGCGCAGGATCAAGCTTCGCAGCCAACAAAGCCAGATAAGCGTTCGAGGACGAGTGGCTTAATCACACAACGGCGGCGCCCCTCCATCGTGTTGAGTTCACACGGCAGCCGCCAGCTGTGAGGTGTGACTACTGGTTTCCTGGGCTGAACCCTGCACTATCTATCATCCGCTGGCTATTGCATGTCTTCACCAACCGTGCCGCCGTCTTGTGCTGGAGCGGCGTCCTCCCTACACTAGGAGCGAGGTACCGCAACTATTTTGATGCGCTGGACCTTGGCCTGAGGCGGCTGTGCCCCTCTAGCTACGAGGTCGCGATGCGGCCATGCCCCTATTACACCACCGATGTACATGTACAGTACAGTGCATTTTGTTGGGCATCTCTGCCGCTGCCGCTGCTCGTTCCTCGCCCCGTCCGGCTATAAGCCAGCATACTGTTGTCGGTTTGTCGATCCGCTTGGAGCAAGTGGCCGAGCCATCTGTGCGGAGGGTACCGGTACCGTACAGTGCGGCATGTCGTCAGCTCTCGAGGGAACGTCAGCGGTCAGCACGAGTCCGAGGGAGCCGGCCCTCTAACCCTCTAGTCTCCGCCATCCCGGTTCAATGGTCGGCTGTTGTAGCGGCGGCAAAGTTGAGAGTAAAGAAGGAGATACTGTTTACGGTAATCCTGCCGCCGTCCACCTGCCGTCAGCATGGCCCGCCCAGATCTACGCCTCGGAGCTTCCGTCTCTTGGCTTCGAGTCGCTGGGTCGTCAGTGAGAATGGCGGGGTGGCTGCCGCAATTAATTTCCTCAGCAGCAACCCCCGTGTTTACACTTGCATCAAACTCTCTCACGCACCGCATGCCATCTTACAGGGGGGCGCCTCCAACTTTTACTCCCGCCCGTCGTCAGCAATGGGGTAAACTGTACGGTTTTCTTCGGGCTCTATCTACCTTTATTGCTTCTAGAATCAACTCATGTTTACACGATAGCTGACGGCAGTGCTGTCGTGTAACTCGAAGAACCGCAATTCCTCAAGCCCTTCCCGCTGCATCTCGCTCATGTTTCTCTCGACCCTCTATCCGAACGCCGCTCCTTTCCCGTCCATTCTAACCCCTTGCTGTGGCAAACCTGAAATGCTCGTTGGGGTGTGGAGTTTGTGCCTCTTTCTGACATACTGTCCTTGCTAACCCCATGCCACCCCATCTCATCCTATCCTGTCATCATCTGTATCACCCCCCCCTCCTGCCCACGTCCTTCACGCTGGCCCTTACCCATATGGCAGCAATACCCACCACGTTGCCTGCCCGGCGTTTTGCCTGCAACCATGAGGCACAGGTGAAAAACTGGAGAAGAGAATCGGAACACCACAGCGGCGTGACAGACCCCCACCCCCCCTGAAGGCTCAAGGGAAAATCGAGTCAAAAGAGCGAGGAACGGAACGCCCTGGACTCAGCCCTGCCGACGCCTGGGATAGATCCGGCGGATGGATACCTTGGGCCTCCTTGCTGCTGTGCCGCCGTCGTCGATTAAGCTCTGACCGCCCCTTTACCCCGTTGACAGCTTCCGCTGGTTACACAGACAGGCCCTCCTTCGCAATATTACAAGGAGCTATATCTGTCGACTTCCCGGCCGGCAATTGTTTTGGATATGAATTCGGTGACGGCGGCTACTTTGCGCAATAACTTGGCCAGGTTACCAGCAGGCGTAGTAATAATGAATAGAAAAGCGAAGAGGAACCATACAACAACAAAGAACTTCAAGTTGAAACTGCATATCATTACTCGGGTACGGGGAATCGAACCCTGGGCCCCTGAGTGCTCATATTGGAAGATCCAATGTTGAGAGCCAGAAATATTAGCGTTACACCATACCCGATGAGCAGTTGTAGTTGCTGGTTATTGCAGGGCAGAGACTTTCCTTCATTCAAGTATGGGGCTCACAACTAATTGACCTGACTCGTCCGCGTCTTCGAGTCCCACCACATGAGCCACATGGGATCTGGGGAGGAACTGGGAAAACCTCAGCACAAACACCCACATCCACGCATCCGTACACACGCACACACGCACACTCGCACACACTGGCACAGGCACAGGCGCCCAGAAGTGGTACGAACCAAGCTGAAGCTGACCGGCCCCATCCATTCACCCGCAGCACCCATCGACCGCGCCCCATTCCACGCCTCAGGTCGACATACAACTGACACATGCCTAGCCCACGATGGACTAGAGCAAAATATCAAAAATAAAGCCATACGTGCAGACAGGCACATGGGATCCAAATCAAAACAGGGAACAGGTCGGTTTCGCTTAGCTTGCTCCCCGCTGAATAGCAAACATAACCTACCCTGTTCCATCCTTCCGATTCCTCCCATCCCGCCCCTTCCCCATCCTCTATCTAATGTGGGGAGGTTAGGGATACACGGCAGCTCCTGTTGATCACGAGATTACTCACGCCGTTGCCCCATCCACACAAACCCATACCTATGTGATTCCTTGTCTCTCTCTGGTGAGTGTGTGTGTGCGTGTGTGCCGTGGAGGAAATGAGGTCTTTTTTGCCTCGCCGTTGCCATGTTGGGCATGATCGAATAATATGAATTAAAAGAGCAACTGCTAAAATATTTCCCGAATCCAACGCTTTTTCTAACCCCCCTCCCCACAGAACAAAGGGCATGTGTTATGTATCTACATGGCCGCTACCTCGCCTACCATCCCAACAATTGTACAATTTGTACTCGAGACAATCTCATAGCGACATGCACCCACGCAACCTACAACCTACATGCCTCACCCTTTCACCCACACCCCCCTTTCATGTATTCGCTTTTTTAACCTTTTTTCGACACCACCCACATCACCGCGCCCCCCCTTTGGTATTGACATTGTCCTGCCTCGTCTCTCTTTGCATGACCTAGACCTTTTTTTCTCATTGAAATGATAACACCATGGCTTCGGGAAAAAACAAACATGACTGGCCTGCTCCTCCATGCTGATGATGCTCCTGCTACTGCTATACAATCACAAACTTACGGGAAGAAAAAAACAAACTAGGTCGGACATTACTCGGTATCCAACCCAGCCTCCTTAACAAGCCCGTAGAAGACGCCCCTCTGTCGGATGAGCTCCATAGGGGTATCGAACTCGACGACGCGGCCCTTCTCGAGGACTACGACGCGATCGCTGTCGAGGATGGTGTTGATGCGATGCGCGACGGTGATGATGGTGCGGTTGGCAAACAGGGGGCTGCGCAGCGTCGTCTGCAGCAGGGCGTCCGTCTGCACGTCGACGGCAGCCGTGGCCTCGTCGAGCACCAGGATGTTGGACGGCGTCAACATGGCGCGCGCTAGAGATACGAGCTGCCGTTGGCCCTGCGAGAGATTCGATCCTGCAAAGCGAAAGCAAGCACAGATTAGCACAGGAACCGTTGGAGAAGAAGAAAAAAAATACACATATGGTGCCCCTGACGTAATTCCACATCGATTTGTGCATTGTTTCAAATGGCGGTATCGCAACTTTGCGATACCACACCGGACTCTTGTGCTAATGCCGGCACATTGCTCGGCACGTTGCGCATGATGGAGGGGCAGGCCTAGACGGCAAGGAGTGAAGACAGCAACACCATCATCGATGGCGGGGATCACAGATTTCGGACCTCGTCGTCCGACGCCACGAGGACAGGCTGCCTGCCGTGCAATGCGTCGGAGATCATGCAGGGACGGTAGATGGGGCAGACAGGAATATGTGAAGCCACACATGAAGAGAATATGGCGATATTGGGGATGAGCCTTGGGGCTGCCGAGGTTTATTGCGAGAGAGTGGTGGGTATGTGCGAAAGGGTGTGGTGTGTGTGTATGGGACTGCGTGTGTGTGCCATTGGCACACATGCCGCCTAGTCGTCAAAGCCCCAGCATACATCTGCTCGTATCAAGCACCTGTCGATCGGGGAGGACCAGCGATGCAGACAGCCGCGGCGCGCCTCGACGACACCGAGGGATGGAGGGGCAAGGACGGGACGGAGGGTTCACCACATATTCAAAAGCCGATGCAAAGCGTCGACAGAGTGACGGTAATACCAAGCGAGATGTGAGCTTACCTCCTTCGTGGACCTTAGCCTCCAGGCCGCCGTCCATGCCAGCGACGTGGTCTTTTAGCCGGGCGTGTTCTGTGCGAAGTCATTAGTTTTGTGTACCACCACCACCGACCTGACCGCAACCTAACCGGGCGCAGAAGGCCGGGCCAGGTGCTCCTATGGCAGGCGGGGAAATGCCAGTGTAACTCACCAAGCACACTCCAAAGTTCCGTGTCATCATGGACGTGGCCAGGGTCAAGGTTGTCCCGAATGGAACCCTCGAAGAGAGCCGCATCCTGTGGAATGATGGCCAGTCGTCGCCGCAAGTCCAGCAGCCCAATGCTTGACGTGTTCAATCCGTCGATGTTGATGTTCCCTGAGTCGGCTTCGATGATTCTAAACAGCGCCAGGGTCAAGGATGATTTGCCAGCGCCCGTTCGGCCCACGACGCCAATCTTCTCGTGCGACTTGATATCCAGCGTGATATTTTTGAGCACCAAATCCAATCCCTCGCGGTATCGAGTGCTGTAGTTGTCAAACTCAACCTCGCCACGCGATGGCCAGCTTACAGCCGGTCTGTTGCGGCGAACAATCTCTGGGGCCTCGCTGGGAAGACGCGCGTACTCGAGGACGCGCTCTACAGACACGATGTTGGTCTCCACCTCGACCGTCTGGCGTACGATCCAGTTGAGCGAGCCGGTGATCTGCAGAGCATAGGACATGGCCAGGCCGACCGCACCTGGGCTCAGTCCACTACCGCTAGTGACCGAAATGATGGAAAAGCCGGCGGCGGACAAAATAACCACGGCGCCGATGAGCTCCAGCCTCACAGCAAGCCATCTGTTTGAGCTAATCGAAGGGAAGTAGGCTCGCAGGTTCGCATCAACACGCCACTCATTCTCGTGTTCAAACCTATCCTGTTGGCGGTATGCCCGAATGGTCGAGATGCCTCCGAGAGACTCTTGGAAGTGGGCGTAGATTGGGCTGCGGCTCACGCTGTCCAGTCTCTTGAGCTCCCGTGATGTCCGCAAGTAGTATCGCTGGATCCAGATGTACATGGCACTCAGAGGTATAATCAGGGCGACAAATGCAGGCGTGGCAACCGAGATGACAACCAGGGTGAACATCGACCTGGCAAGATTGGTGAATAGCATGTTGAATGTCCGTGCAAGGACCTCGTCGACACGATAGATGTCACTAGAAAGGGGAGTGCGTTTAGTACAACATATCTTGCCTGCTTAGAGGGCCTGCCTAAATGTTCCGATCTGGAGTGGGATGCAGTGATTCGTGACAGCACAGCGAGCACGACATGGCTGGTGATTCCAACCAGAACGAAACTGCTTGGCCCATGCCCATATCGCACAGCGCTAGACTTGTCACACATTATGACGGCGAGGCAAAAGAGGGTAGGAACGGACGAGGCGAAAGTTGCGTACCTCGAGAACCTGTTCAGTATCCTACCGGCTGGTGTGACATCAAAGAAGGACATCGGTGATCTGAATATGGCGGTGGCCATCTTCTCATGTAACTTTCGAGACGCCTACATGGTGATGTGAGTACGGTCATGTACACTGTCGCGACAATTTGAACATTGGACATACCTCAATTGAGCAGAAGATCCACAGGATCAGGGTTTGCACAACCGTCAAGCCGGCAGCGCCGACGCCGAAGACGAAGTAGACACCAATATATTTCCCATATTCGGGGTTCCCGCCAGCCTCGGTATTTCGATCCGCCCAATTCTTCAACCACACGTTGCCAGCTGAGTCACGATTAGTTTAGGTGCCATTGATCTAAGGGTTGGCTGCAGGTCTCTCTGCCTTGATTGCGATGGAGGAAGTGTAATAGTGGCAAAGCAAAGGTGTCGACCGCTTACCAATTTGGGCTGTCTGAGCCGCGACAAGACTGACGAGATACACAGCGACCGCGCCAAGGTTACTGGTTTTGGCGTATTCGGCGTAAACTGTTCCCACACGGTGGTTAGCTGTTGAGTACGATTCAGGAGATTGAACATGCAGTTCATACCAGACCATTTGACCTTGCCCTGTTCCGAGTGTTCCTTCGCCGTCTTCGTCTTGCTGCTCGGGCTCTCTTCGTCGTGCAGCCTAGCCTTTGGCCCCCTGAAGCTGGCGGCACTGGCTCGACGCAAGGTCGCCATACTGTCAGCCCTCATCTTAGCACGGCCAGACGAGCCACCAGGCCCTGGTCGAATAGCTTGCAGAGTAGCCAAGCCTTCTTGAGCTTCTTCCATGTCGTCCTTTTCTTGGCTGCTCTCTGCCTCGATAACTGTGGAGGTCTCACTGTCGCTGCCGCTTCCACTTGTAGACGTGGTGGGGGAGTTCTCGCCGGAATCGTTGCGTCCTCCAGTCATGATCACGTCGAAGACAGATCCCTTCATTGCCATGAGCTGTTGATACGTTCCCTTCTCGGTGATTTCGCCGCCCTTGAGTAGGCAGATGTAATCCGACTCGACAAGGACGGGGATGGAATTAGTGGCCAGGATTCTGGTCTTTGAACTGAGTAGACCCTTTGGACCAAGAACGTTGTCAATCAAATGCCGGCCAACATGCGAATCGACGGCCGAGAGACAGTCATCGAGTAGGTAAACATCTGCTCTGGCATATACTGCTCTTGCAAGGGCGACACGGGCTTTCTGGCCGCCGCTGAGTGAAATACCGCGCTCGCCCACGACAGTCTCGTCTCCATCGGGAAGCTGTGTGAAGTCGTCAAGCAGAGCGCATGCCTTTACAGTCTTCTCGTAGAAATTTGAATCGTAGCGGAAGCCAAAAATGATGTTGTCCTTAACG